TTACTATGCAGATTTCACCGAACCAAAACAACTAAAGTCTCATTGGATAGCCCGAATAATGGACGATCTTATGACGTCCAAATTGTACAAATTCGCTGGTTAGGCAATATATTATGGGACGCTGAATATCTAGCATTTTCCTTTTGGAGCCTATTCAGATGCTTTTATCTCGAAAACTACTCTTATTTGATTTCTTAAACTTCTGTTACACAGAGTCCTAACGGTGGTCTAGGGTGTGAATCCAAATTTAAAAGCCTCAATATAGTATAAGTGGTCCAAAAATGGCCACAATCTTTGAAAAAAGTCGAAAAATCGTTATATTTCTGGAGATGCTTCTAATAGTATAAGGGAGGTAACTAGTCCTAACCAAGATTGGTCAGAATACCAATTATTTGCTCAATATCGTTAAATATCTGATAACGGTCTTCTAATTTTCCTTTTTTTTAAAAACTGTCCAATAGATCTTTCTGAAACTTTTGGTACAGGAAGTTAAGTTACTATACCACTTGTTAAATCTCTCTGTAAACATTAAGTAGTCGAAAATACATCCGATATTTTGAGAAAAAAAACAGTAAAAAATTGGTACTCTTTGGAAAATCGCGATTTCTCCGTCGGGTGTCACTGAATCAAAACAACTAAAGTATCGTTTGGTAGCTCGATGGATCGGCTATTGTATAACACTCTTCCTGTCTGATTCCTGAAAGCCGGTTCAGTGCTGCTTGCAGGTCTAGTTATTATTAATTTTCCCCAGGAAGCCTATTTCTCAGTGCCTGTAACCTAATTTTCTATTGGGAAACCATGTGGTGGCTACTTGATCGACTACTTTTGAAACTTCTGCGCAGACCGGAAGGGGTCGAATATGGTATTGTGCCGAAAAATCAGAAACTGGCCGTAGTTTTGTCAATTATTTCCCTATTATTTCCAATCTTTTCTGGAACGGTAGCAGTTGAATATTTCCAAATTTCGTAACTTTGTCGTTGACTTATATCGTTCGTAAATTGCAAACATGTCGTTTACGAGAAAATTTCAAAATATTCATATTTGGCCTTCATTTTTGGATACCTGAAGTCAATCCGATTCCAGTAATATAAGTTTCATTCAGAGTTATCGCACTTTTTTTCGATTTTTTTTCGAATTTTTTGCCCATTTTCTATCCTACTTTTTTTCTTTTTACGACCAAATCGATGTTTCTGAAACTTCTGGAACATGAAGTTATATGACCATAGCAAGGGATAAAGAAATTTCAACAATGATCCGTAGACCGGAAGAAGTCGAAATAATGACCGATATGTTGAAAAGAACGCAAAAAATGGGTATTTTTGGAAAAAAAAACGCGATTTCTCCGTCCGATATCACCGGATTTGAGTGGCCCGAGGAATGGACTATCGTGGGATACCCAATGCATGCGGATACTATTTTATTATTTAAACAGATTTTTACATTCAGATAGCTGACCTAATTACGATTCTAACGATGTATAATATCTATTTGAGTTATTGAAATTTAATTTTCGATATTTTGACAGTTTTGCATTTTTGACACTTTTGAACATAGGATTTCTCTAGGGCATTTTATCTGATCAGATAATGTAATATATATTTACAGAGCCCTGTGACTATTTAATTGCCCAAACCGGTTATTAAAACTAACCCGATAATAATCTCCATACCGGAAGTATTCAAAAAATGAAAAAAAAGGTTAAAAACATTGGTGCTCTTGCGAAAAACTTGATTTTTCCGTCAGATGTTAGCGGACCAAAAGAACTAAAGTGTCATTGAATAGCCCCATCACATAACATCTGAATGATACGATTTCGATGGTTAGAAAATAAATTATGGTACGCCGAAAATCTAGTATTTTCCAGTTTGGTGTTTTTTGAGACGTCTTTTTCTCGAAAACGACACCTACAATTTTTCTTAAACTTTTTTACTCAGGGTCCTTTCGGTGGTCTATAGCGTGAATCCAAAAATAGAATCATTGAAATAATATAAGTCGTCCAAAAAGAGTCTCAATCTTTGAAAAAAATTGAAAAATCCTTCTATTTTTCTTTGTTTTGAGAACAGCTTAATGTATGTTTCTGAAACTTCTTTTACAGAAAGTTAAGTATCAAAACAATTTGTTAAAACTATCCCGAAAATGATCCACAAACCGAAAAAATATTCGATATTGTGAAAAAAGTGATTACTACGCCAGATTTCACCGAATCAAAACAACTAAAGTCTCATTGGATAGTCCGAATAATGGACGATCTTATGGCATCCAAATGATACAAATTCGCTGGTTAGGCAATATATTATTATGTTACGCTGAAAATCTAGTATTTTGCTTTTTGGAGCCTATTCAGACGCTTTTATCTGTCACTGAGAGTCCTAACGGTGGTCTAGGGTGTGAATCCAAATTGAAATGCCTCAATATGATATAAAGGTTCCGAAAAGGGCCCTAATCTTTGAAAAAAAGTCGAAAAATCGTTTTGTTACTAAAAAAAAACTTCTAATGGTTTAAGGAAGGTAAATATCGTTAAATATCTGATAATGGTCCTCTAATTTTCCTTTCTTTTAAAAACTGTCCAATGGATCTTTCTGAAACTTCTGGTACAGGAAGTTAAGTTCCCATACCACTTGTTGAACCTTTCCCGACAATGATCTGTAAACCGGAAGTAGTCGAAAAAATATCCGATATTTTGAGAAAAAAAATATTAAAAAATTGGTAGCTCGATAAACGGGCTATTGTATGACCCTCTACCTGTGAGATTCCTGAAAGCCGGTTCATTGCCGGGAGCCTATTTCTCAGTGCCTGTAATAGATATCGATTTGGGACCTAATGTTCTTTTGGGAAATCATGTGGGGATTACTCCTTAAATTATATTTAAAACTTCTGCGCAGACCGGAAGTAGTCAAATTTTGAATGGTGGCCAGAAAATAAGAATCGGCAATTCTTTACCTATTTTCAAACAAATGACATTTTTGGGAACCCCTAAATGTTTTCTGACACAATGGTTAGCTCACATTTTTCAATTTTGAATATTCGTTCATATCTTCTATCGTTTGAAAATTGAAAACACATTGTTTTCGAGACAATTTTTGTTATTTTTCAAAATTTTCAAATTTGACCTATATTTTTTGATACCTGAAGTCCACTCGATTTTCAATAATATAAGTTACATTCAGAGGTATCACCCTTTACTTTTCGAAGTTTTTCGAATTTTCCTCCCATTCTCTAACCCTTATATATTTTGAAAGCCTCAGTCGATGTTTCTGAAACTTCTGGATCATGAAGCCATACTCTAACACCACCTGTTAAAGTTATCCCGACAAGGATCCGTAAACCGGAAGTAGTCGAAAAATTGTCAGATATTTTGCAAAAAAACCCCCACAAAAATGGATGTTTTGGGGAAAAACGCGATTCCTCACCAGAAATATAGGTAAAGTGCGTAAATTTGTAACAGTAGAGGCCACTAAGTCACTTGTTAATTCTTTGGTCACTTCTCGATTAGATAACTTTAATTGACTTTTAGTTGGTTTACCTGTAAAGTTTATAGATAAATAGCAAAAAGTACAGAATACTGCAGCTAGACTTGTTATCATAAATGCGACCACATAACTCCTGTTTTATATATATTGCAATGGTTACCTGTTCAAAATCGAATTGATTTTAAGATTTTATTACTTGCATTTAAATGTTTAAATAATTTAGCTCCTGTTACATCTCAGATCTTTTAGAACTTTATCCACCTGGCCGAACATTACGTACATCAGATAGACAACTGTTTAACTAGTCTCTTATGGCCAGCGCTCTTTTAGTTATCAAGCACCTGTTTGTGGAATAATCTACCATTTAGTTTAAGATGTTGTACATCTCAATATTCTTTTAAAAAACAACTTAAAACACATTTATTAAATCAGGCTTTTAACTGACTCTGTACACAATCCTTAACATGTCCATAATCTTGTTGTTTATTTATGATTACATTGTCACTTTGCAAATTGCTCGTGGACATGTTATATGAAAGGGAACACAGTAAATATGCTGTAATAATAATAATAATAATAATAATAATATCAACGGATGAAACAAATTAAGGTATGGTTGGATCGACCGGTGCTTGGACTAGTGTATGATATCCTATTCATACAGATACGATGATCAGGCTTCTTACTCAGAGTCCTTTCGGGGGTCTAGAGTGTGAATTCAAAAAAAGAAGCATTGAAATAACATAAGTGGTTAAAAAAGGGCCCAAACTTTGAAAAAATTGATAAAATCGTTAAATTACTGAAAATGCTCTTCTATTTTTTTATTTTTTTGAAAACAGGTAAAACTACCCCGACAATGATCCAAAAACCGGAAATAGTCGAAAAACTATCCAATATTATTAAATAAAAAACGTAATTGTTAACTTTCAAAACAGATATTTTATTCAAATGACCCCTAAAGTATGATATTTAATTCCATATAGATACGATCATATAGATATCACAATTTTTTTTTTACTTGTTCAGTTGTTGGGAAATAGACGATTTTTTGGTTCATAAAATTGTTAATTATTATTTGATTTTTATAAAAGTTTCACCATTTGATGCCTTATGTCATTTGTCATTTGTGATTTGATAACTAATTCCATTTGTGATTTTATAAAAACAATTTTAAAAATTTATTTTTACCGAAAGTGACAACATTTCGACAAAAACTGTATTTTTAGCCTCCAAACAAATATTTTCTTCAAATGAGTGTTATTCAATATTCCTTTAAAATTATGATATTCAATTTCATCTAACATATAGAATGATTTTATACGATGCTATAGATACCAAAGAATTGCTTCTTTCTTCTTCCGTTACAGAGAAATAACCAATATTGTCAAGGGCACTTTTAAAGGTTTAGCCGTTGGTTAGTAACCAATTTTGTCAGGATCACTATTTTGACATATGTAACACATGCTAATAAATGTATAAATGGAATTGATATAGCTGGATTTGGTTGACTCTGCTTCCGTTTTATAACAGGTGTGCAATGCTTATGTGGAAATCTGGTTCATTGGTACGTGGTAACGTGGCACAGGTGAAACCCGTCATTACTGCGTCGCAGTTCCAGTTGTTATTCATTTGATGTATTGGAGTAAATAAACGAGGTGAGTTAAAGTAAAACGCCATACCTTATGTATGTTACAAGTCTCAACTATAATCTATATTACCCTATATGCCCGCTTAAATAAATATTATTATTGCGTGTCGGATAAATTCTACGCAATTTTCGATACTTTATAAATACAGCTCTGGTAGTTTGTAGGATGTTCTCAATGAGTTTTGAAAAAATATAACTGGAAGAGGCTATATACATGTTTGTCAGAACCTCAAGTGGCCTTAGTTTGAGGTTTATTTGTCGCTCGTTAAAAAAGTTTCAACTTGCGGTGTTTTAACTATTAACTATTTAACACAGATGCAGCCTAAACGTCTTCAGATTGGTTACGAGTCGTGCATACACAAAATTGCCTTTAGTGCAATTAATTCATCTAAAACTCGAATAAAGTATTTTAGATCAGTGCTTGAACTTTCAATAATCATATTAGTTTAAGGTTATTTTGAATATGATATTATATAAAATTATTACTTATAAATTCTTGTTGAAAGTTATAAATCCCCTTTTAACAAAGAATTCTCCACTCTTACTTGTTTGTTTTTATGCCGGTCATTTGCTTTGTACAAGTATGGAAAATAATACTAAAGAGTATTTATATATACAAAAAAACAATTACTGGTTTATTATACATATGTTTTTATATCTTTTTCAAGCCGAACAAAAATGAAAGAAAGAAAGAAATAATAATGCTTGCACAATACTTGAAATGCATATGATAATATGTCACGTGAGGACCGTTGTTCGGATTGAATAACGGTTTTATATAGGGGAGTAGCGTGAATGAATGAATGTGTAAGAAGTCAATACTTCCGCCATCAAGCCGATATCTTTCAATTACCCTTATTTATTCAAATCATAACAATTCAAAAATATCCGTTATTTTTATCGATCATGCAATTGGTGGGCTAAAGAAAACATTAAAAATATTGTGCCTTGAAAACGATTTAATGAATTTGATTATATATATTAATTAAATAGTTTACAATGCATGCTTTAACTTTATCTGAATTTAAATACTACATTTGAGTAACCTAGACTGATTAACTAATGGGGTGTAAAAATGATATTCTCCTAATCCCGTTATGCTATATTATAATATAGGTCTTATAACGGTACGTTGACTTTCAATATAACGGTTTTACATCTCAACACATCTTTATCCTATAATATACTAGCATAAGCATGCTATATTGTATAGAATATACCTCATTAAAACTACCTACTAATATACACTATATTTATAGTATAGACATTTTTATCCATTGATATCTATCAATCATTTATTTATACTTATATACAATAGGTTTAACAAGTTTAAACAGGTCTTACCTCTGATCCGATCTATCATCGAACACCTCGTCTCTGTTTAGAATCTCTAAATTATCTCCCTTGTGACCCCTAATGGTATCGAGTTACGTGGCCAAAATACTCCACATTGTGTAGGAGAGAGAGAGAGAGAAAGAGAGAGAGAGAGAGAGCAGATCTCGACCACCACCCCTCCCTCCCCCACTGTTTTATATTACACCTCTACTCTTTGTTTATCTTGTGTTATCAATGTTTTTTCTACATCTACATGATTTCTACACTCGTTGGCATTTACTACAAAATTTTACAGTTTTACTTCAAAAGTTGTAAGAAAAAAAGTTATAATGTTTTGTAAATGACGCTCGAAAATAAAATGGCATTGTGGTTCCGGAATTAAAGTATTAAATTAAATTATAGTATTCTATAGCTAAGTATTACTTATATATTATAATCAGTATAATCAGAATGATAATTTTCTCAGATTTAATTCTGTATAGTGAAGAAATATAAAACAATAACATTATGAGTACCTAACTTTAATCACATTTACAAATGTTTATTTATGCATATTGGGGGGGGGGGGGTATCTTTATTGGGATTAGGATTTAAATTTATATTTGTGACGGTAAATCAATATCATACAAGTAAGGTAAATTTCGGGAAGAGATTTTTCGATAATATCTATAACAGTATAGGATACACGCGGTCTCATTGTCGCCTTACCCGCTTCATTAATAAAATGGAAAGGGTGTACACACTGTGGTATGTTTTCTGCCTTATCTATAATAATTGAAACACGACAAGTATTTAGTAAGACCTCAAAATTACCCCACTTTCTCTTATAGTAACGCGGTGTTTTCATACATAGAAAAGTTTAAACAGTTCCGTATACTTGGCACTACTTCAATCTATTTTCATACTGAATTTCAAAATTTCGTGATGTTCTTTTATAAAAAAAAGAATCACTAGTATGCTTGTGCATGTGCGTTTGTTAAACAATTATACAAGTAAACAGATCAATTGAACTTTATAATGAAAAGGATTCTCAGGTGATATTTTCAAAGCATTTCGAATTGACCGAGACTTATTTGAGACAAGGACAGAAAGTTTCTCGCTAAATAGTTTTAAAATAATATTTTTGGCTTTCTTGCATAAATAACTTAAAATAATATTTTTGACTTTCGTCACCTTGGTTGCGGCTATTAATGTATTTTTTTTTCAAATGAACTATTGATATAATTTGTTTTATTGAAAAGGCAGATATGTTGGACGATTTCCAAGTGAAACATTAATTAGTCTGTTGCGTGTTTGACAGAATATAAGCTAAACGGATGTCTGTACACACGCGCCTTGACGTCAACAGCTGTACCTTTAATATTTAAAAGAAATTGGTCGTTCCGTTCTAATAAAAGCTCACAGTTGATACACGTTGGTGCAATTCTATCCTATACACGCCTAATTGTAGGTATATCGGTGGGTTTGAGGGATGTTTATTTGACCAATCAATGCTGATATCTCGACAATCGATGTACAAAAGAGGATAATTTAGTAGTTCCATGTAACCATGAAGCGCCCTGGAAATCTTGGCACCCCTTTATACTGTCTAATTGTTTGCAATCGTATACTTATAAATTGTTTTGTTTTCCGTATTTTAGTCAGCTAACAGATTAAACCCTAATAACGTCTTGGCGATAAGAACTGTCTGGGTGTTTTTTTGGTTTGGAATTGATTTTTATTTGTATTTTATGATTGACATTTTAGAAACGAAAATCATTTGGGAGACCCGGCATTATAAAAGATATGATAAATATAATAAATATAAATATAAAATTTTGGTGTGGAGTATGAATAATATCCCGTATAATGACGTATAATGTAGAATTAAATTACATTTTTCATACGATGGTGTTTTGGGCTTGATATGTGTAAAAAAAAATGCTTATTAACAAATACTGTCTATTTTTTTTTTAAAAAAAGGAGTACGTGTGGCAGACCTTACTTATCGTGTGTATCATTTAGCAAATGGAATTTGACCGTTCCGTTCTAATAAAATATCACAATCCATTTAAGTTTTCCGTTATATGATTATGTACCGGTATGCTAAACAACCGTTAGATAGTTAAAATACCGTTGGATTTTTTTTGTGTGTTTTTTTTGTGTATTTATTCTTAAAGAAATATGAGTAATCTCTTTGGGAGTGTGTAATATAAGAAGTATATATCATAAACTACATCTTGAAATAAATAATTGAAATCATTATCACGGGACATCAGTATGATAAAAATAATACGATCCATACACCACTGGACAAACAGAATTTAAACACCTCTAATCAAAACATCTTATATTAAAGGAGAAATAACGGATATATATCAGTGAATAAGATAGGTTATATTTTCGTGAAAGGTTCCTAGTGACAAGTAACTATCTGAAACGTCCAAGATAAATATCGTATTTCTTGACATTTTGGCGTTTGATTTGCACACTTACGAACGTCTTATTCGGAGACCAAGCTATATAAGATAGATCTATAATAATATACTAAACAGCAAAAAAAACCTCCAAAAACCGTCAGTACGATTTCAAAATCAGAGAGACACTTTAATCAAATCATTGTAGAAAACGACTTACTAAATGGATCAAAGCAATTTTTTGTGAACAGTATGTTGACACATTAGTGATTAATTCATCACAATTCCAAGACATTACGAGAAGGTTTAGAGTCTGTTCACAGTCTATACATCAGTATCTGGTGTGTCCACCGCGAGTTTCAATAACAGCAGCGCAGCGTCTGTACATGGAGTGGACCAAACGATTGATGAACGCCATTGGCAGCTGGAACCACACTCTCAGAAAAGCCTGGCGCAATCCATCGACTGTGTTTGGTCTCGGCACGACGTTATTAAGTCTCCTCTTAATTCCATCCCAGAGAAAGTCAATCGGGGTTAAGTCCGGAAAAAGGGCTAGCCAGTACATAACGTTGACACCGTAGTGTGGTAGAAAGTCCCGAGTAACTCTGGCGGTGTCGACACGGGCGTTTTCATGCTGGAAAAAGTTGTTTCGATGACCTGCGAAATGTGGTATGACGTGGGGTCTGAGAACTTGATCGATGTAGCGCACTGCTGTGATGCCGCCTACTCTCCCTGGACCAAGATTTTGGAACGCCACAGGACCCACTCTCTGGTTAAGGCCGATTCCACCCCAATCCATTATGCTTGGACCTCACCATGAGTCTCGTTCCATGGCACATTGGTCAGAATAACGCTGGCCACGTCGACGCCATATTCTGGCCCTGCCATCTGCAGTTGATACGCAATACCGACTCTCATCTGTGAACAGAACAGTTCTTCATTGCCTGTGTCTCCAGTTCTGGTGTTTTTAGGCAAACTGTAGACGTTCACGTCGATGGCGAGGGGTGAGGATCGGTCCACGGTAAGGTCTACGGCAATGGATGTTCTCTCTGGTGAGATGTCGGCGCACTGTATCGGTACTGATGGGTCTTCCGTGTGTTCCCACTGTCTCAGATGCCTGTGTGAAGGGATTCGGCACGTGCTGTCGCACAACATGACGGTCTTGTGGTAACCCTTGGTCTACCAGTTCGGGGGCGATCATCCGTCATGTTGGTGGCCCGAAAGCGTCGCTGAAGCCTGTAGATGGTCCGAACATTGACCTGGAAGTGATTGGCAA